AAGCAGCAGCTGGGAAGAAGAAGCTGTTGTGGGAGTCTGTGTGTCAGACAGGGTACTACTGTGTGTCAGAGTACCAACCTGATAGGTTCAGGTGTCTGTTGGTTAGCCAGAACTGATAGGTTCAGGGTCTGTGCTTCAAGTTAAGGGTTCTGTGTGAACCAAACTGTGTGTATGTATGAGTGAAACTAAGCCACGTTACTATATCTTATTCACCTGATCATTTTATTTTTCCTGTGTGTTGTATTTAAATAAACCTTATTCTTTTATTTGTTTAAAAATCCATCCCTGGTCTGTGTGACTTCTTATAGGGAATGGTTGGTGGCAGCTTAGTGAAAGTGTGGCAGATCCCAGTAGGTCTGGGTTTGTCACACAGGCTATGTTGCTTAAAGAGAAAATGGAAAAGTTTGAGCAGTTTCTATTAAATTAGAAGGGCTTTAAATGAGGAGGAGGAGGAGAATAATTGCTAATGGTAGCCAACAGCTGAGATTTCGGCTCCATAACTGTGAAAACACATGCCTTGTTTTTCATGGTACTTAATCAATTATATCACTTAAATGTGTGGCACAGAAGCCAGTATCTTATGACTCTTCTCTGAATGAAGCATACAATTCATTATACGGTATGCTGCTATTGGGTTAAGTGGCAGAGCCAAGAATTCCAAATGAATGCATTACTAAGAGGTCCTCTTGGTCATCATGACTATTTGTTCAAATTATTAGTGTGTTACTTTACCAAAATGTGCTTTTAAAGTACTGTATAACAAAACACACAGGATCTCTGAAATACAAGACATGTCCACTGTCTTCAGAATACATATGACATTTCCCCCAGTACCCACATTTACTTTGGGGTTACAGATTTCTCATATGCATGCAAATCATGAATTACATGATGAGAATGACTGAGGAGAGGCAGAATGCCCACCCCAGTTGACAACTCAACTTTCTCTATTTCTGGTCTGCCAGCCTATCCTCAAATTGTTTCAGCTGCTCGTCAAAAGCCGGACAGAGATGTGTCCTTCTAGATGCTTGGACTTCAGCAGCTGATATGTCTCTCAAAGCCACAGGCTGGCATGCATCAGGAAGAATGCCAGGCAGAGTGTGGCCAAGCAGCAGAGGGAGACCATGCCACCCTTCTTGGCCACGTGTTCAATATATGAAACACAGGCTGATGTCTTCCTGTCTGTCATCTTCCGAAGGGATCTGCATATAGTGGACCCCTGCATACTGACTCATCTGGACCTTCTTTGATCATGCAGATGGTTTTCTAGGGTGAGTTGGTGGTTATTGGCTGCAACACGGTCCCTGATGTACATGAAGGGACACGCTGATCCATCTTGTCCCTTTTCTTGAGCAACTGGGCAGTGGGGCACATTGTCGAGAGAAACGGGCAGCTGACTCTCTGCTTGCCACTGGATGCCAAGGACGCTCTTCTGGTGATCCCGTGCCCCTGGGTGTGTGTGTGTCTTGGATGGATGGCAGCTTCCCATCTCTCTCCTGACTAGTTCTTGGCAGGGACCTCCGGCGCTCAGGATCCCTGCCACTTGGCACCCGAACAAGTGAGGGAGAGAAAGTCCATTTTGGACGTGGCCAGGCAAAAGCTGTGCTGCCGTACAAACCGCAGAGTGGCCACCATCTTGTCCTATGGGGCAAGAAGAGATGCATTTTGGATATATAGTCATTAAGCATCCATGAGTTTTGTTGAGAATTTTGTATGGTACTTAAATGATAAAACTGGAAATAAAAAGAAGGATTATCCATTATTCTCTTGCTTTGCTGTAATAAATTGCCTTCCAGAAGCATGCATTTCCTGCATAATCACTGAAGATGTATTTTCACCTTACTTTTTAAGCATGGACCACGTCTGAGCACCGAGGGCCTGCGTATGAAGATGTATTTTCACCTTACTTTTTAAGCATGGACGTCTGAGCACCGAGGGCCTGCGTGTGATGCTTTCGCCATGCCTTCATCTACACCAAGCTATACGTCCACCATGTCTAAAATGTGTTTACCTGCTTTAAAATTTTATCTTACATGTTCATTGGATGAACGTAGAGAAACCATTCACTCTGGTTTAAAAGCGAATTGCACTGCTGCCTTTGCACGCTTAAGCCGAACATCCAACAGGTTCGTCTCTGAGAAACAGCCTGACTGTTCTCCTGTACAGTAAGAGCATCGCCCTCATCCGCGGATCCCTTTATCCGCGGCCTCAAAATATTAAATTTAAAAAGTGTATTCACCGCAACTAGCCCCTAGAAGGAGGGCGAAACAATGATCTCTATAGCGTGCCCAACCCCCGCGTTTTCCAGCATCCCCGGGTGTGTGTGTGTTTTGTGTGTGTGTGTGTTTTCTTGGAACTGATCCCAGGGGATACAGCGGTCCTAATGTATTTTTTTAAAGTGGAGGAATGGCCTGACGGGTGGCCATGGCGGCATCTTCCACTTCATATAGCCCAACATCTTGTCAGAAAAAAAACCCTCCTGGAAAAATGGACTGAATGTCAAGGAAGGGGTACAATTTTTCCTCCTGAGGGGAGAAAGAAAGTCCGAAGGGCCGCCTCTGTCCCGGGTGGGCAGGAGAGCGGGCGGACGAGGAAAAGTGGAGGGAACCGCCTTCCTCCCTCAGGGACAGGCTTCCAAAGCCTCGCCTCCGTCTCCTCCTCTGCCCGCCCATGGCCGGGCCGGCCTGCCCAAGCGCCGCCATCGCCGCCACGGCCCCGCCTCCCACCTCGTCAGGGAAGCCATGGCG